TGGGCCCTGGCTGGGCGGGGGGCGCTGGGCTGGGCTGGGGGCCCCGGCACTCACCGAAGCCCTCGACGCGGCCGCCCTTGAACTCGCCCTCGAAGGTCATGTTGTCGTAGCGCGTGAAGACGCCGACGCCGCTGAACTTCCCCTGCACGAACTCCCCCTCGTACCTGCAGCGTGGTCGAGCCAGGGGGCAGCTGTGTTAGCCCGGTCCCCCACCCCATGCCCGCTGCTGCGGGGGCACGGCCTGGCACCGGTGCAGGGCTGGTCCTGAGCTCCAGACGCGCGGGGCCTGCCTGTGCCCGCCCTGCCCCGAGGTGTGGCCGCACTCACACCAGGCCCACGCATAGATATGCTTGCACAAGTGCACATCACATGCAGAGAAGCACGCCCACACTTCCAGGCATATGCACACGACTAGATACACCCACATGTGCGTGCATGCACAAACACACACGTGCTCACACTTGCACGTGCACATCTGAATATACAAACATATTCACAATTGCACATACATACAGACACTCTCACGCATGCACAGACAAGCATGCTCATACCCACACGTGCGTGCACAAAGACGTACCCCCCCACACCTGCTCCAAGGACCCACGGCAGTGTCAGAGTCCTTCCCCCCTTCCCTCTGAGCTGCTGCTTGCCCCTGGCGCTGGGGGCTGCTGGGGCCACCCCCTGCTCCGCATCCCCAGCCCCGGGGCCAACCGCAGCAGCAGGCGCTGCTCAGCCCTGGGTCTCCCCACGCACCGGGAGCCGTCAGCAAAAGTGAGCACCCCGCAGCCATGAAAGAGCCCATTCTCGAAGTGGCCCAGATAGGTGCTGCCGTCAGCGAAGGTCAGCTGGCCCATGCCGTGCCGGCGGCCTGGCGGGGGAAGGCAGCCGGTCACCAGCGCCCCTGACACCGGGGTGGGGCATGGGCCCTGGGGACACCAGACTGGGGGGCAGCTCCTGGCCTCCCTGCCTGAACCCCTGGCCGGGGAGACTGACCTTCCTTCCACTCGCCGCGGTACTCCTCCCCACTGGAGTAGGTGAAGGAGCCCTTGGTCAGCGTCATGGTCCTGGTGCCAGCTCCCGCGGGCGCAGGGCAAGGCTGCAAGGGAGGGCGGGTGAGTGCATGGCCGAGCCCAGGGCCCACGGGCAGCGCTGTGCAGGCTGGGCTGAGCCCCCAGCATCCCCCATACAGAGACTCCGGCAGCACCGATCCTGCCCCACGTTACCAGGGGCTGTCCCCTCTCCCTGAGCTGCCCACCCTCTCCTTTGGGACCCGACTCCAAGCCCCCTCCATCTCCCTGGGGCTGCCAGAGCCCTCTGCCGGGACATCACGAGCTGGGGCAGGTCCTGGGCACTGCCCGAGACCACGACACCTGCCGACACGGCCCAGGCGGCACCCGGGGCCAGCGTCTGCTTGAGCCCAGTGCTGGTGCTGGTTGCAGCTGCCTGGCAGGACTGGCCCCTTGGCACACGGGTCCCAGCGCTGCACCCCTCCTCCGGGCCGCGCATGGGGCTGAGTCCTGGCAGAGAGCGTGGCTCCTGGGGCCACGGCCAGTGCTGGCGGAGGAGGGTTGCAGCGGGCAGGTACATCTGCCAGGGCTGCAGATGTGCCAGGGCCGCGGTGTCAGGGCTGTGCCAGAGGTGTGTGCGTGAATGGGTCTGGTGGCACCAGCGCCTGGCACCCTCTGACCCACGCCTGAAACTCCAGCCACGCGGCTCAGGTTGCGGCCGCTCGGGGCAGGACCCAGCAGCACCTCCATGAAACATGCATGCGGCCGGCCAGGCGAGCGGCACAGCCGGCACGCGTGACCCCAGCCACGCGGCTGTCACCAGGGCTGGGCTGGCTCTGCGCTGCCCACGGTCCACCTGTGATGGAGCCACGTGCCGTGGACAGATCCAGGGGCTGCAGCCGTGCTGGGCCGGGGCGCTCTCCCTTCTGTAAAGGGGGACCAGGATGGGGCGGGGGAGCCGGGGGCACGGAGCTGGGGGGGAGCAGGGCTGGGCCTGCTGCAGAGCCCCGGGGATGGTCTCCTCTAGCCCGCAGCCAGCGCGCTCCGGAGCCCTGGCGCCCCGCCCCGAGCATGCACCCCAAGCACATGGCCTGCTGCACCCTGAACGCCCCCCTGCACCCCACCCTGTGCACACAGCCTGCTGCACCCCTGTAGCACCCCACCTGCTGTGCCCTGCACCCCACCCTGTGCCCACGGCCTGCTGCACCCTGCACCCCACCTGCTACACCCTGCACCCCACCCTGTGCCCACGGCCTGCTGCACCCCGCACCCCCCCTGCTGTGCCCTGCCCCCCACCCTGTGCCCACGGCCTGCTGCACCCCGCACCCCCCCTGCTGTGCCCTGCCCCCCACCCTGTGCCCACGGCCTGCTGCACCCCGCACCCCCCCTGCTGTGCCCTGCCCCCCACCCTGTGCCCACGGCCTGCTGCACCCCGCACCCCCCCTGCTGTGCCCTGCCCCCCACCCTGTGCCCACGGCCTGCTGCACCCCGCACCCCCCCTGCTGTGCCCTGCCCCCCACCCTGTGCCCACGGCCTGCTGCACCCCGCACCCCCCCTGCTGTGCCCTGCCCCCCACCCTGTGCCCACGGCCTGCTGCACCCCGCACCCCCCCTGCTGTGCCCTGCCCCCCACCCTGTGCCCACGGCCTGCTGCACCCCGCACCCCCCCTGCTGTGCCCTGCCCCCCACCCTGTGCCCACGGCCTGCTGCACCCCGCACCCCCCCTGCTGTGCCCTGCCCCCCACCCTGTGCCCACGGCCTGCTGCACCCCGCACCCCCCCTGCTGTGCCCTGCCCCCCACCCTGTGCCCACGGCCTGCTGCACCCCGCACCCCCCCTGCTGTGCCCTGCTCCCCACCCCATGCACACGGCCTGCTGCACCCCACCTCCTGCACCCCACCCCATGCGCGCAGCCTGCTGCACCCCTGTAGCACCCCACCTGCTGTGCCCTGCACCCCACCCCCTGCACGCCGCCT